CTACCCTATATGCAAGGGGGGATAGGATTGATACTTGATGTTAAGACTCCTTCCCTCTCAGTTGGTATTTTGAGCTACTACATCCATAAGTATAGGTCAAGTTCATCAATTTGTAGCATTTTACACTTGTTTATCCAAAAATTTTTTTAATCTTCCTCTAATTGAGTTCTGACTATTAAGTCATCGGGAGGCTAAGTCAAATGGGTAGTCTCTGCAAGTTTGGGTGTTCTTGTGCATCTCTCCTAACTTCATATAAGCTGGGTGCTTCACTCTCAGCTCTAGCCCTCTGTGGCTATGTCATTGTCCATGGGCTGAGGTGTCCCCTGGACTCACCACACTTTGGACCAAATATCCCTTCCTCTTCTCTCTCTCATCTCCAGATCAATGGGAATTTATGGAACATGACTGAACTCAACCCATTTCTTCATTGCTCCCTTCCCCTTTTCTACTCACTAGTATACCAATGTAGTCGCCAGTAAGCTTACATGCCTGCTCATGTAATCCCTTTGAGTTTCAGTCTTGGAGAGGGGTTTGTCCTTGATTGCTTGCCCTTATGATGCCTCAGCAAACAACTTGCTTATTCCTGTGGTTGCCAATTAGATGGTCATTTTTCCTTTGGATTTTTCCTGTTGATCTTTCTCTCAAGAAGTAGCTTCTATTGCTCTCGCTGTTCCAGGCAGGTCTTCGTGTCCTTTCCAGTGGGAATGTCCCACCTCAGAAGGTTCTGGATGAGGCTTAGGATTCCACCTAAGGTCCTGTACACAGCAAATGCTCAGATTTTCTTCTGGCATCCATTTTTGTCTTTTCCTTCTTTCTTGTCTTCTTAATGACGTTTTGCTTTCTTACGGTATGATGTTCTTGATGTCATTGCACAACTCTTCTTGCCTTCTGTCATTTATGTCTAATGCATCCAGTCTGTTAAATTTAAATTTGTTGTTGTTGTTGTTAAGTGCTATCGAGTCAGTTCCGACCCATAGTGACCCTGTACAGGGTTTCTGAGGGTGTAAATCTTTACGACAGTAGAAAGCCTCATCTTTCTCCCGCGGAGTGGCTGGTAGTTTCGAACCGCTGACCTTAAGGTTCACAGCCCTATTTGTAACCACTACGCTACCAGAGGATATATTCAAGGTGATATTTTGACTTTAGTTGACTTGTTTACATTTTCTTTAGCCTGAATTTGTGTATGAGCAATGAAGGGTGTGTCCAAAGTCTGCCCCAGGCCTTGTTTTGGCTGATAATATGGAACTTTTGCACCATCTCTTTCCGGCAGATGGAGTCAGTGTGATTTCTGTGTGTTCCAGCTGGTGAGCTCCCTGTGTATAGTCGTCTTTTATGTTGTTTTGAAAAAAAGGCATTTGCAATGAGGAAGTCATTGGGCTTATAAAATTCTATCATGCAATTTCCATCATCATTTCTATAACCAAGGCCATATTTCCCAAGTACTGATCCTTCCTCTTTGTTCCAACCTGTATAATAACATAGACATGTTAGAGAAAAAAAAAATAAATGACAGGATAGGAGATGAGACATTCAGGTGCTGAATTTCTTTTAAGCTGTTTTCAAAGTAAAACACAGTTATAAATATTTTACCCAGGGAATGACCAAATGAATGAATCCAACGTTGCTGGTTGAATTCCCATGTGAGCCATTAGCGTCATTTCATTTCCTTGTCACAGGCATGCTACCCTCTTAACCCTGACTCACCATTCTTCTAATTCCTACTTGTGATCACAAAGGAAATTTGCAAGACTGGATATGTAAGCAAAAATCTATCCTCACTGCAAGAAAACAAGTCATAGGTCAAATCCCAGTGATGTGATATCACCCAAGAATAGAGAGTCCAGCTATCATTATAATTTAGGTTATTACAGTTACTACCATTATCATTATGATGTTGGCAGAGTAGCCAACATTTTAACATTTATCAAAAGAGTGTACTCTGGAGTCAGACATGTAGATTTGAATCCTGACTCTCTCATTTATTAACTTTGTGGGTTGAAAAGTTATTTACCTTCTCTGAACCTTATGTTTCTCATTTCAAAACAGTAATTACAATAAGACCTTATAGGGTTGTTATGAATAATGTCCAAATTAATACATGTAGAAGAATTCCTGGCACATATTTTTATGATTGGCTGTCTTCAAGTTGACTCTGACTCACGGTGACTTTCTATACAACAGAGAAAAACTGTCTAGTCTTGAGGTCATCCTCATGATTGGTGGCATGTGCCAGTCCATCTCCGACTCACCATGGGTATATCTCACCTTTGCTGGTCCTCAGTGTCTTTCTCCAGAAATTGATCTCTCCTGATGATGTGTCAAAAACAAGTGATTCAGATCATGTTTGTTACAATCCTAAAGGTTTTCAATGGTTTATTTCAGAAGTAGATTGCCAGACCTTTCTTCCTAGTCTACCTTAATTTGGTTGCTCCAGTAAAACTCGTCCACCACAGATGACCCTGATGGTATTTGAAATACCAGTGGCATAGTTTCCAGCATGTAACAGCACACAAGTCACCTCAGTAAGACAAACTGACAAACTGGAAGTGGTGACATATGTTGTTAAGTACTGTGGAGTCAGCTCTGACTCATAGTGACCCTGTACAGGGTTTCTGAGGCTGTAAATCTTTACGGGAGCAGAACGCCTCATCTTTCTCCCGCGGAACCACCGGTAATTTCAAACTGCTGACCTTGAGGTTGGCAGCCCGACTGGTAACCACGACACTATTGTTATCATTTATCTTTGGGTTTTCATAGTAATCAGAATATTTAGTACTTGCTGAGAAGTATATCGAGAGAAAAGGAAGGAAAGAGGGGAACAAAGAAGGAAGGCATGAGAAGAGGTGGAAAAGCAGAAAGATGTAGGAGGTTCTTAGATAAGATGGTAGTACTCATTTAGAGAAAAGGGATAAATCGCTTCAGAAAGTCATCGAGTCTTTCACCTATAGCTACAATAGCAGAGCAGTCTTTCTTAAGTATGGCTGAAGTAAAGATTTGCAAAAACACTTGGGTAAACCCACATCTTTGGGCCATGATAAGAAACAGAGTGAAGCAAGCTGACTGTTGCATATTATTGTTGTTAAGTGCCATCCCATCAGTTCCTACCCAAAGCAACCCTGTATAGGGTTTCTGAGGAGCAGCTGGTGACCTTAAACCACCAACCTTCCGGTTCAAACCTACCTTGCAGCCTAGTGCATTAACCCACAGTGCCACACCAGAACTCCGACTGTTGCATAGATGGTAACAAACTGCTTTGATATCACAATCCTATGAAAGATATCCTTCTCTTGGCACCATGACCATCCGAGTCCTATACTACTAGAAATAAAGCCAAATCTTTTTCAGATTGTGACGTATTGAGACAAATACTCTGGACCCTGCATTTGAAAGTTGAGGTCTTCAGTTGCTTTGAGACAAAAACTAGGTGATTGTGTGTCATTGCAGGCAAAGAAATTCTTTACTTATTGGAGTCCTGGTGTGGCACTGTGGATTAATACCCTAGACTGTCAGGTCAGTTTGAATAGCAAGGTGGGTCTAGCTCACCAGCCACTCCTCAAAAACAGGGTCACTATGAGTCGGAACTAACTGGATGGCACTTAACATCAACAACAACGACTTTCTGCATATACACTTCTTTGGACTCTTGGTGTGGATTGGCACTGAACTGCAAACCACAGAGTCGGCAGTTCAAGCCCACCAGCTGCTCCTTGGAAACCCTATACTGGGTCACTATAAGTCAAAACTGACTCGACAGCACTTAGCAACAACAACAACATATATACTTTTTAAAAAGTTATCATTGATGATCTATTAAGCTCAAATTAGTTGATGATGCTCTGAGACCACCTTCTGCCCTGAGTGCTGGATGTCCTCAGGAAGGTCATTCATTGTCACAATGTGGTTAATAAGTTTCTTGCTCTAAACTATCATCCATTCAAAACCTGGCTGTCTCTATTTAGTATTTTCCTATTCACCCATGGTGGCACTGTGGGAGAAGCACTGGACTTCAAACTACAGGGTTAGTGGTTCAAACCCACCAGCTTCTCAGAGGGAGAAAGTTGAGGTTGTCTGCTCCCCTAACGATTTACAACCTTGGAGATCCTACAGAATACAGTCGCTATAAGTCAAAATATTGAGTCAATATCAGTGGGTTTGGTTTGGGTTTTTGGTTCGTCTTCGGACAGTTTGAACCAAACAAAGAAAGGCTGGTAGTTGTCTGGCTGAGCAAGAGTCCAACAGGATGAAGAAAAGTGGCTTGCCTCTATAATAAATGTAATAGAAGATTTTTATCGTATCACCATGTCCAGTTCTTGTCTTCTGCAGAGCAGTAGTGTTTCCACTGTATTGGCTTACATAAATATGTTCAGACCATAGCACAGTACAGCTCAGTATAGCAAAAACTCTCAGTGGGAGAATGTTGTTCACTTTGGTCACAGTTACGATTTAATTTAGGGGTTATCTCTCTGCCAATGAGATTATGGGAAAGAAGCAGAGTGCTAGTAGAAGATGATGATATGGGATTCTGATATTTGAAAATGGATGAGCTTCCCAAGAGAAGAGCATATAACTGTCTGGATCACATTCAGATAGAAACCTGGAAGGTTGCCAGATTTGTAATTACATCTGGAATTGAGCTGTAATCCTTACCACTTCTGAAAACAATACGAATGAGAAAGCGATAAACCACATTTGTTTTAAATCATGGTATTTGTTTGGCGTTCCTACTAAAATAATTTCCTGACATTTTAGTTAAGGCTGTAGAAATACAAAAATGATGATATGATTTGTGGAAAGAGAGAAAAGAAAATACTGTATTTGTGTGTGTGTGTGTGTGTGTGTGTGGCGGGGGTGGGGCTGGGAATAAAGACATTATACATTTTGTGAGGGAAAAGAGTCAACCGTGTTATGTGAGGAAACAGTAAATCATATTTATATATGAAATTTATATGAATTTTAACACATAGAAGTTTATATATGACTTTTAACATACAACATTTTAGGTTTACAACATACAAATATAAGCTCTTTGTATACAACGCTGTGGATTGTGCTCCAAGCCAGGAAGCAACTGTGACAACATTAGCTGGTCTTCCAGAGAGAGGGGCCAATCTCACCACCCGGGCACTTAACCACACTGCTATAGACATGGAATGGACTAAACCAAGTAAGCAAACTGCTCCTGCCTCTGTTCCCCTTAAATTTATTACTAGTACCTTGATTCATTTTCTGTGTTGCTGCCATGAATTACCACAAACTCAATGGCTTAAAACAAGGGGGAAATATCCTCTTACGGCTCTGAGATTGGAAATCCTAAATCAAGATGTCAGTACAGTGTTCCTTCTGAGAACTCTGAGGGTCAAACTGTATCACATCTCTCTCCTAGTTTGTGGTGACAGCCAGCAACCCTTGGTGTTCCTTGATTTGTAGATACATCACTATAACCTCTACCTCTGTTGTCAGATGTCATGCTCCCTGTGTGTATTTGTGTTTATTTTTGTCTTCTTATAAGGATGTAGGAGTCCTGGTGTGGTGCTGTGGACTAATGAGCTAGACTGCAAGGTTGGTTTGAAACACAAGATTGGTGGTTCAAGCTCACCAGCCGCTCCTTGGAAATCCTATACAGGGTCTCTATGAGTTTGAACCACCTCAGCAGCCCTTAACAACAACAACATAAAGATGTCAGTCATATTTGATTATGACCTACTGTGCTCCAGTGTGTCTTCATGTTAACTAATTATATCTTCTAAGTAGAGTCACATTCACAAGTACTAGGCCTTAGGATTTGAACATATGGTGTAGACAAATTAAAATGGAAGCAACTGTATACATAATAATAAAAAAAAAAAAAAAACACATAATAGAAAAGCTCATTTTCCTTCCTGAGAAGCAAACTCTCTCTCTGAAACATGCTCCTTCTTTTTATATCCTACTGGGATTGGTAATACAGTCTCTGTCAAACCAGCCTAGTTTAATTGAAATGCCCATGTATTGATTTGATATACTGTAATGTTCTGCACCTTCCTACAGCTAGATATGTCCTATGTCACTTGCCTCATGACTCATTAGTGAAAAACACATACTAGGATTGCAGTAATATTACAGATTTTCAGTGAATCTTCTTCATCACCGGTTTTAGGTACAGTTTCAACTCGAGCCTAGAAAAAAAAGTATGGAAATGATCACTGAATTCACTCAAACAGTAAAAGTCAGATCCGGACCCCACTTAGAACACATCTTCACAGGCAGTTGGAAGACCTCACAGGTGGATCTAAAATGTTTCTGTAACATCTGAAACGATAGTAACTGAAATTTCAGATCTGCCTGACCAGTTGTTGTTTTTATATGTCGTGGGGTTGGTTCTGACTCATAGCAACCCAGTATTGGGTTTCTGAGGATTAGCTGGTGAGTTTGAACTTCTGACCTTGTGGCTAGCAGTCTAGTCCTTATCCTATAGCACCACAGCAGGACTCCAGTCTTGGGGACTTGAACAGTAAGTAGAGTAGCATTTAACACTTTATCTGTGGAGAACATAGGACAATCAGAAAAACAAAAACAAAAAAACCTTGGATTCCAACGTGGAAATTTGTATTGTAATCATCCTTGCAGATATAACACAATATCTGACAAATCGTTACTTAAATCAAAATTTGTTAGAATTCTATAAATAGAATATGGATAAATATATGATTTGGAAAGGCCTGATTAAAATATTTTATAAAAGAAAATTCTGCTCACTAGGATAATCATCTACTACATAGGCGATATAAAATTACTGTTGTTTGGGCAGTAGTGATTTCTTGATTTTGATTCAGACTTAAATTTTGTTGTAAACTCAAAGCGAAATGCTTCCTACTTCATTTAATATACCTTTAGTAAGTTTAATACACTGTTATATCAGTTATAAATTAAAATCATAATTATCTGGCACTGAGTATACCCCTGACACGTGGTGACCCTGTGTATGACTTGTAGTGATCCCTAGGATTTTTACTGGCCAATTCTTGGAAGTACATCCCCGATCTTCCTTCCTGGTCCATCTTTGTCCAGAAGCTCTGCTGAAGCCTGTTCTCTGTCATAGAAACAGAAAAGCTATCCCTGACAGACAAGTGGTAACAGTTCATGAGGTGCTTTGATCAGGAATGGAACTCAAACCTCCGTCAGGGAAAGAAAGAATTCTACCACTAAACCAGGCCTCCAAAGCCAGTATCATTGTTGTTGTTGCTGTTAATTGACACCAAGTCGGTTCCGACTCATAGGGATCTTGTATAGGGTTTCTGAGGAATGGCTGGTGGGTTTGGACACCAACCTTGCAGTTAGCAATTCAGTGTTTATCCTATTGTGCCACACCAGAACTCCAAAGCCTACATTGTTGTTGCTGTCGTTAAGTGCCATTATGTAGGTTCTGACTCATAGCAAACCTACACATAATTCTTAAGGACCGGCTGGTGGGTTTCAACCCACCAAACTTGTGGTTTGCATTCCAATGCTTATCCTACAACACCACAGCAGAAAACCAGTATTAGATGATAATAATTGCAAATTAAAATCAGTACTAGTTGTATTGATCAAAATTGTTCCTTACCCATTTTTTTAAAGACTATCTCTTCTAGGATGATTACACAATTGCAAGTGTCTAACCATCTGTGTCATGTGCATTGGGATCTTATAAGTCACTTTAATAAAATAAGTTAATTGATGCATATCGATTACTGGTGGCTCTGTAAGATAAGCACTGGACTGCAAACTACAAGGTCGGCAACTCAAGCTCTGTAGCTATGCTTCAAAAGAAAGATGAGGCTTTCTGCTCCCACAAAGATTCACAGCCTCAGAAACACTAAGTAGGGTTGCTGTGTGATGAAACCAACTTGACGGCACTTAACAGCATGATTATATTACTACCTGAGAAAAATAGATTTGCCCTGGGAACAATAAAGTTTTTACCTAGAAATGGATATTTATGTGTAACATGGTTTCACTCGTTTCATCTTTCCCTCTGCTCCTTCTTTACTAACTGCTTCATCTTAAACCCTACTCATGAAAGTGGGTGCTGTCTCTGTTCAGATGACATTTGAATACTTTGCTTAAGATCCAGCTGCTGAATTTTCACCAGTATAGTTCCTTTATGTTATAATTGCATGCCTGAAGTAAGCTTGCTTATAAAACCTGACAAACCTAATAGACCTGAAGCAGCTCACTGAAGTTTCATTACCTTGGTAATCTGAACCTCTGACCTTCTGGATGTAGGTAATGCAATCTGCTGTTATTTCCATTCATACCTTAGAAATTTTTCAGGTAACTCTTTGTGAACACAAAGGTTAACTCTCAGAAAAGGGTCATCTCTCTGAAAGCTTGTTGCATTATCATTTTCCTCCTTTATGCAACCTGCTATCCTAAGTAAATTCACTAATCACTCTTCTGTGAAATAGCCACCTATATTTTTGCAGTTTTAATTTCAAATTGATCTCTTGATCAGTAGGATGAAATTGGCACACAGTCTATCTAATCAAAATTTACAATCGAAGGTATCTTGTGGTTGAAAGTCTTATGAATAAATGGGTAAATATTTACTTATTAAAATCAACTTTAAACAAAAATATCCACTGAAGTCTTCTTTAAACCAAACAGTAGATTAGCTGAATTAGCAAAGATTTCTGTCATGAGCACTGTGTTCTTTTAAGAACTCTCGATATGGGATCAATTTGATTATAGCAACTGGAAAGGCTAGAGAAGAAACTTAGAGAACTCAGAGCTGCTACTAATTGAGGAGAAAGATTTTGGAAAAGGAGAGTAAGAATGGTTGCACAACTTAAAGAAGAGAATTAATGTCACTGTATATGTAACAATTGATATGTAGAAATTCTTTAGTTGATATATTTTCCTCTGTGCATTTTCAACAACAATAGGTAAAATAAAGTTAAAAAGACACCAGAATGCATATTTTAAAGTATATTGTTTCTTCACTGTGACCATCTACCTGTACACATCATTTTGGAAGCAAAATAGTTCTGTTATAGTTTTACCCAGCACAGAATAATAAGGATAATTTATTAAAAACTTTAAAAGGGCCAGTTTCAATATTGTTGTTGTTGGGTGCCATCAAGTGGGTTGTGACTCATAATGACACTTTGTACAACAGAACAAAACACTGCCCAGTGCTAGGCCTTTCTCACAATCTTTCCTGTATTTTACGCCATTGTTGTAGCTACTGTGTCAGTCCATCTCTTTGAAGGTCTTTCTCTTTTCTCTGTATCTCAACTTTACCAAACATGATGTTCTTTCCCAGTTTCTGGCCTTTCCTCATGACCTGTCCAAAGAACTTGAGATAAATAGGCTTTGTGGGTTAATGAGCCAGCTTTGTGGTTCAAACTCACCAGCTGCTCCTCAGAAACCCTATACAGGGTCGCTATGGGTCAGAGCTGACTCAACAGCTCTTAACAACAACAACAACATCCTCACTTCTAGAAGGCATTTTGGCCAAACTTCTTTCAAGACAGATATGTTTGTTCATCTGGAAGTTCATGATACATTAAATATCTTTGCCAGCACCATAATTCAAATGTGTCAATTCTTCTGTTGTCTTTTTTCTTCATTGTCCATCTTTATAATTCAGATGAAGCCATTGACAATACCATGACTTCAGTCAATCACACCCTAGTCATCAAAGTGACATGTTTGACTCTGCTGACATTTAAAATACCCATAGCATAATGTCCAGAATCACAGCAACACACAAGCCACCACAGTACAACAAATGGATAAACAAGTGGTGGCATTTTGGTTTGTAACATTTTAGAGAGGTATGTTGCAACAGATTTTTTTTTTTAAATGTATATATAAAGAGAAGTTTATGTTAAAAAAAAAATGTCTCACACAGTTGTAGAGGTGGGCAAGTCCGTGGGTCAAATGAAGCAGGATTGGTAGGTCAGGTGGCAGTTTGCTGAGGGCTCCCAGGAATAACAGGCCAGTGACTCAAGTCCAGATGATAAGCTAGATGCAGGACTCACACCCAACACAAAAGAAACCAGCTATGCCCAAGTGCCTGTATATTAGAGGCAGGCCACACCCCCAAGAATACATCCTTTCAATTGATTGGCTGCTCACAGCACATCTCATGATAGGGTTGATTATATTCCATCTCATCAGGGGGATTGCTGTGTCTTAACT